ACTAAGAAAGAAAGTAAAAACAAAAAAAATTTAAGTTACAAGTTTTCTATGATATTTATTATTTTCTTTATCCGATTTTGATATTGATTTTGGTCCCTTTTTTTTTTTTTTTTTTGTTAAAGTCTTACTAACCCCAGGTTATTTTTATCGAGTATTATGAGTTTTTATTCAGGGCTGTGCTTCATTCATATTGGCTAGCAGTCTGCTTTTGGGAAACTTCATTGCTGTGATCAAACATAATTTTGAGGCGAATGATACTTGTTTTTAAAATGATTTTTTATTCATTTTCTGGCAGCACCACCACTTGCTTTAACTATTTTGTAATACTTAGAAAAAATGTTCAAACGAAACGCATAAACCTTGCGAATGTATTAAGATTTTGAACTGCAAATTCTCAGTAACAATATATTTTGCATTATTTTACATCTAAAACTTATTTTATTGTAAAATATAGGTATTTTAGTATGATAAAAAATCCGCAACTTTTAACCAATATAATTTTTTAATCTATTCTAATTATTTAATCTATAAAATCTTTAAATTTCAAAGTTGAAAACATCCGTCAAAATTCATCATCGCATGTTATTTATATATATGATTTTAAGTAAGAGAATCGCGAACTTTAGAATTGTTGCGGGATGGAAATGCAGGTTGTTTTATAAAACAAGAAGTGTAGTTCTCCCCTACACTCGATTCTATATATATATATATATATATATATATATATATATATATATATATATATATATATATATATATATATATATATATATATATATATATATATATATATATATAAATTAGCAAGAACCTGTCTATTAGTCACTCTTCATTTATTATTTCGAGATGCCAAAAAAAAATTTACATTTGAAAGTTCTTTTACACTTGAAAGCTTTTTCTACATTTGTATTAAAAATGCGTTTTTAATTAACAAAAAAAGGATTGAGCTCCGTAGACGTGGACCCAAACAAGTGATTGAGCAGTCCAATTTTTTAAGTGTTGTTGACGGAAGTAAAAATTGTTTATGGAATGTTTTGTTAAGTATCTGTGATTAATTGAGAAGAAATGTGGCTGAAAAAAGATGGAAGAATGTTATTGTGTAATTTAAGCATAAATTTTAAAGAAAAATGCTTTATGCATTATAAATCATTAATTTTTTTTAGTAAAGGCGTATGAATATCTGTTTGCATTAGATTAACCGAGTCGCTTGCTTTTTTTTGCTATAAATACATTGTCACATGTATTTCTTTGTTATGTTCTTGTCACATGTACTGTTCATTGTCACGTTTCTTTGATAATGTCAAAACTTGTTGTCCGCTTAAATCCTTTGTAATCTTTTACGTTTGTTTAAGAATTAAATAATATATTTTACGTTTGTTTATGAATTTAATTAAAAGAAATGAAAAAATACCTTGGCGTTATAAATTTATTTTGTTGAAAATATTTTTTAACTTGCTCAGGATTTTCTTTAACAATGCTCAAAATGGATTTCGTTAGACTAAAGTTTTTGTTTTAAAACAAAACTTTATTTTTTTATTTGTATAAAATTTTTTGTTAGAAAATGCTAACATGTAGGTACCTACTGGTACTTGGTTGCAAATGTAAGCGCTCGTGCATTCAGCTTCTACTGCTTCATTAGGCTTTAATCTTGAGACTATGCATTTTCTGGTGACGCCTTCTCCTAGATTAAAGTTGTTTTATTTTCTGTTTGTTAAGATTTAAAAAAATGGTTAATAGCACACTTAACACCCAACATCAAAAAAAAAATTACGAAAATAAAACACAACCTTTATTAAGACTTCGATAACGGTAATCTATTATCTCCCTAAATTAGTATTATTTTGTATTTATTAACTAGCTTGATATTAATAAATGCTTCTATATATCATATTTTACCTGAAAAATATGGTGATTATTTTTTGGATCTTGTTCTATCAATCTAGATATATATATATATATGTATATATATATATATATATATATATATATATTATATATATATATATATATATATATATATATATATATATATATATATATATATATATATATATATATATATATATATATATATATTTACTCAATGCCTTTGCTTGTTTTTGTCTTCAACCAAATATGGATTTGAGTTGTGTTTACTATAAAAAAAACCCGAAGGTTTCTTTTTTTCCACCATAATGACTTACAAATTCTTTCAAATAATTAACTAGCTACTAGTTTTTTTTTGTAATTACTTTCTTATTGAAGTGCTGAGCAAAAATGTACAAAATTGACAAACTAATATATAAACCTTGGCGCCCCTAGCATGTAAACAACCCAAAACGAAAATTTAAAAAAGAAAGATAAAAAACTGTCTGCTACGGCCCTGCCCACCCTGGTGCTCTATGTGACCGTATAATTCGCATGGCCATTGCGCCAACTCTAACCCTACTAATATTGTGCCACCTTATTTCATCACTGGTAGTTATAAAGTCAACGTCTACCAAAGATGAGTTATTTTATCGTGACACCGTCTCTATTCTTTGTAAATAATGAAAAGTTGTTTTGTTAAATGATGCTTTGTGTTAAGGTGGTAGACTGCTATAATTATGATTTTTGTATTTGACAATATTTCAATTGATTTTTTCACTTCATACATGATAAACACATTTGAAAAACTGTTATTTTTAGTTTTTTTTACCACCCTAAATTTTGGGTTCGATTTTCTAAAATACAAAATGAAACATCTTTAAAGTTTTATTAATGTTATATACATAACATATATAAAGATATTATATATATTATAAAAGACAAAAGGGAGAGAATTTTTCAAAAAATTTAAAATTTCATAAGCATAAAAACAGCGCGTAAAATTTTTGGCGCATATTTTATGATAGGGATGCTTATTTTATTAATGTGCTTGAGTAATTAGATAATTACGTTAATAATTTGTTTAGGTAATTAGATAACTATATTAATAATTTGCTTAGGTAATTAGATAATTATATTAATAATGTGCTTAGGTAATTAGATAATTATGTTAATAATTTGCTTAGGTAAATAGATGTATTAGATAATTATATTAATAATTTGCTTAGGTAATTAGTTAATTATAGTAATAATTTGCTTACGCAATTAGATAATTAGATTATTAATTTGCTTAGGCAATTAGATAATTACGTTAATAATTTGCTTGGGTAATTAGATAATTATATTAATAATGTGCATAAGTAGTTAGACAATTGTGTTAATAATTTGCTTAGGTAATTAGATATATATATTATTAATTTGCTAAGGCAGTTAAATAATTATATTCATAATTTGCTTAGATAATTAAAACAAAGTTTTGAAAGATTTTTATTTCATACTATGACTTTGTACAATATACTTAATGCTCATTTGCGAACCATACAAAACCATATAAACTTTAAACTTTCAGGTTGTACTTATTGATGAGTTTTAGTATTATAGTAAATAAAAATTTTGTTTTTTGGTTTAATTAGCTGAAAAATGCACTAAAGTTGACATTTTACAGATATTATGTTCTTTTTAAGACATAAATATTTGAACTGCTGATAAATAGCGGTTTGCTCAACGACTACGAAAGCGTTTAAATTTTTTTTAAATTAATTAAATCGGTGGAAAGAAAAACAGTACTAGTCCAATATTTTCATTTTAAGATAATCAATGCTTAAGTTTTAAACAGTTATAGATTAAATGTATTTTATGGCTAAAATTATTGAAAGAAAGATGGACAAGTATTATTTTTGTAGTACATAGAGAGACTGACATAAGTTAAATGAAATTATGAAAAAAAAAGTGCAAACAACAAAAAAGGACTAGCACTGTTCTTCTTTTTTTCTTACTTTTTTTTTTTTAACATGTTTATTTTACAACTACAAAGTATTTACAATTGACCAATCACCGATTGGCGAATAAAGATATCCCAGTAAGCACAGGACGTTTTAAAAACGTTTTAATTCCGTTCAATTTACGGTCGGACGTTAAAAGAACCAATACAATCGTTTTTAAAACGTTTTTTTGCAAACGTTTTTTTAAATGTTAATTTAAACGTTTTTTTAGCGTTTTTTAAACGTTTAATTTTTTTTATTAACTTACGAAATTTCTCAGTTAGCTTATGAACGTTTTTAAAACATTTTTTAACGTGATAAAAAAACTTTTTTTTAACGTAGAGCACGGCAATATCTAAAAGAGTATGTTTACGCAAATAATGGCGTGACCTTCGATTAGGCGAATTGATTTATTTAAGTAAAAATTATATAAATTAGTATATATTTAAATCAACCAAGTGTTTGTATTGTTTTCTTGTAGAATTAAATTTGAAAATATATTGGAGTATTTTTAGTTTAAAGTTGTATGCCTTTGTTGAAACTAGGTTGTGTTTGTATTTCTACTTGAATCAAGTAGATATGATTAATAAAGTTTTAATGGTGTGGTTAACTAGATTATTTTACTTTATTAAATAACTTAATTGTTTAGTAAACTTGAATGCTTAAAAAAAACTAGATTAAATTTTTAATTCTACTTAATTATCAACTGCTTTTAACGCAAAAAAAAATTATTTGGATTTGAAAAAAGGGAACAACATTCTCAGAGTTTTTCTTCTTTAACTCTAAAAATTAAAAATGATAATATCAGTGGTTTTTATAAAGGAATTACTATAGTTAAAAAGGCTGAAAGGAAAAAATATGATGATTTGTTTCAAGAAAGGCAGTGACTTCAAAATGTCATTTTAAAATGATGTTCTGGTGTTATTGCCAAATATTTAGCAGTATGAAACCTATAATTTTATATACCATACTATATACCCTATTTTACTTATGAAGTTATTAATCTGTAAAGTAATTTGTAAAAATTTTTAAATTGTAAAGTTGCTACATGAGAAGACAAGTTGTTAGATGAAATTCAAATATTCTCTATGTTTGTGTTGTGTAGGTCAAAAAATGATAAACAAAGATGATATTGATTGTGATGACCAAGAGATTCATTTTAAGACACATCAATCTTCATCATCTTTAAATAAAAAGGATAAACATGCATTTCCATTATCTCAAGCAAGTAAGTCTTTAGTTAAAAATAATATTGTAATGTTTGTTGTAAAATGCTAACATGACTGTCAATATTAAAAAACATCATTAAAATGATGAGGTTCCAATTTTAACTTTAAATAATCACCTTTATGAAATCCATTATTTCAATATTATCAAAACTATAAATCTATGGAACAATCTTTCTTGTCTAACCCAAAATCTGAGAAAAACCCTAATATATATAATATAGCATTGCCACTATTTGGTATTTTACTGTCTATTAGTTTTTCTCTAATTTAGGGTTATACCAGTAACGTTGTTAAATTGTTAAATTTATGTATTTTAAATTTATTTATTTACGTAGTTTAGTTAAGACTATGTAAAAATTAATTAGTGTAAATTTGTTTAGACTTTCAATACTGTGTGTTGCTTCTCTTAAATGAGATAAAAACCCAAGGATGCAAAAAACTTTATATAAAATAGTGTGAAGAAGAAGTAGTAACTGAAATGAACAGCATAATAGAATTTGATAAGTTTGACTCAGCACTTGACAATGTTTCATCTAGTAACTCTGTAGTATCTCTGCAGTTGTAAATTGCTAAATACTGATTTGGCAGATTTTTCTTTTTTTTTAATTTTCTTTACAATATATAATTTTTACTACTAAATTAGGAATCGTCAGATTTCCATTATTTCTTTCTATTAAAAACAAAGAGTTCAAAATATTGGTGGTAAGAACTGTCAAAAACTTGTGATAGCTATGATGAAGAGGTTGTAAATTAAAAGTGCATTCCTATAAATACTCTGTTTAATTTTATAATAATATTACTCCCATCTTACAATCCATAATACAAATCCCATGCATGGCTCTACGTTAGCCGTTTTACCATAATGGGATGATTGAATAATCGTGAATTTCATACGCGCAAACTAGCACATGTGCGAAGCAGTTACAAAAACTGGCACAATGCTAAATGACATAAGTGCAAATGGGCATAACTGCACAAAAACAATTCCAAACATTGGCATAAGTGCAAACTGCTATAAGTGCAAACTGGCATATTTGTAAATTAGCATAAGTGCGCTAAATAGATTTACAAACATTCGCATAAGTGTGAATTGCCATAAGTGGGAAATGGTATAAGTGTGAAGCAGTTGCAAAAACTCGCAAAAGTGCAAACAACATAAATGCGAACTGGCATAAGTGTGCCAAATAAATTTGCAAAATTTAGCATAATTCTAAACTGGCATAACTGCAAACTAGCATAAGGGCGAAATGCCAATTAGCACTTAGGCCAATGTTTGCAAATTTATTACACGCACTCATGTCAGTTCGCACTTCTGCCAGTGTTTGTAACTGTTTTGTACTTAATCAAATTTTGCACTTATGCCTATTCGTAATGTTTGCTAACCTGTTTGGCGCACTAATGCCAATTTACACTTTTTCCAGTTTGCAAGTTTAAAGCTATAGGTTATCCTATAGCTTTAAACTTTAGTCCAGATAATTCTTTTAACCCAGATAATATTCATATATATGACTACACTAATGGTTAGTGTACACTTATGATCTGGACTACATTAATGGTTAGTGTTCTATTTTTTAAATAATAGATTAGATTTAATTAATAGATTAACTGTATCACTAAAATAAAATCTAAATGTTTAATTACATTTAGATTTTATGAAAAAAAAAAAAAAAATTTTAAATACAGTAGTTAATTATAATTTCATAAATTATAAGATATAATATTATTAAAATATATTATTTTTAGTTTTATGACAAATTCACTCATGGCCAAATCTAATATGGCAGCTGGAAAAGGCAAAGGATCTTTTTAGTCTAACCAAGCTATACAACTTAATAAAAGGTACGTTTATATATATATATATATATATATATATATATATATATATATATATATATATATATATATATATATATATATATATATATATATATTTATATAACATATATAAATAACATATATATATAACATATATGTATAACAATTATTAGGCGGGATTGTATTTCTAATTTACCGAATACTAACCTGTTTCTTTTTTTTCTCCTCTTCAAGCACTGTATATATATATATATATATATATATATATATATATATATATATATATATATATATATATATATATATTATTTATATATATATATATATTATATATATATATATATATATATATATATATATATATATATATATATATATATATATATATATATATATATATATATATATATATATATACACCATTGGCCATAAATTAGAGCTCACTTTTTTTTTTTTATAAAACATAATTTTAAAACAAAATTAATTGAAAATAAAAATTATTTTTAATTTTTTAATATTATAAGTAAAATCTATATACATTATGGAAATCCAAAAAGCTAAATATAAACATAACAGTCTTGATACTAAACAATAGAAAATAATGAAACAGGTTGTTTTTTTTCAAAAAAAAAATTGGCCAAAAGTTAAGGATATGTTCTAAATAAAATATAAGAACAACAATTTACAAGAGCAAAACCAAAAAAAAAGCATTCTAATATTTTGTAGAACCTCCTTTCTCATGAAAGCGTTGATTTACTCTCTTTGGCATTGAGCTTACAAGATTTTGAGTTATTTCTTTAGGCACATTGTCAAGCAGTTTTCTTATTTCAGTTTTTAATTGTTCGACATTTAAAATTTGAATTTTTCTAAGATGATGATCTAACCAAGACCATAAATTTTCTATACAATTCAAGTCAGGGCTGTTAGCAGGCCAAGACATTATTGATATTTGGTTTTCTACAAACCATCGTTTGGATATTTTTGCTGTATGGCATGACACACCATATTGTTGATATATGATATTCCTGTTTTCTTCTTTAAATATATCAATTGAGGGAAGAAGACAATTATCTAAAATTTCAATATATCTATCAGCATTAAGTCGACCTTCAAATAATCGATAGCATCCAAGTCCTGCATAATTCATGCAAGCCCAAATGCCAATACTGCCACTACCTTGCTTAGTTTGTTTTAATGTACAATTTGAATCAAATCTCTCTTGAGGTGATCGCCGGAGCATAACATGGCATTTTCGCATATCTACCTCCACATACATTTCATCGGAGAATATAACATTTTGCCACTTGCAATCAGGCCAATTTTTATGCTGATTGCACCAGGCAACCCTTGCTTTTTTGTTGTTTCTTTAAAAGTCTTGGCTTCTTGCATGCAGATCGCCACATATAATTATTTCTATGAAGAATTCTTCTAACAGTTCTTGAACTCACTTTTATTCCAGATGTATTGTTTAATTTATGGCAGAGAGTGTTTGACAATAACTTTCTGTCATGTTTCATTAAACGAATTAAAAAACGTTCATCTCTTTGTGTTGTTACAGCTGGCCGACCAGATAGGCGTCTGTCCTTAATGTCACCTGTTTCACTAAAACGTTTTAAAATACGTGCAACAATCAAATATGCGATATTTAACTCATTTGCTATCTGGCGATGAGATAGTCCTTGGTTTCGAAGAAAAATTGATTCATAACGTGTTTTTTCAGAGATTCTTGATCGTGATTTTGGAGTTTTATGCTGTATTTCTTCACTTATTTTGTAACTTTTTTATTATTTAATTTATTTGTGTTTTTTTTAGTACTATTTCAAACAAAAACAAAAACAAATTAGAAATAATAAATGCAGATGAAAATAAAATAAAAATTATTAAAGAAAATCATCAATATATTACTTAAAATTTAAATATAAAGCAGTGAGCCTCAACTTTTGACCAACATAAAAAATTAAAATTATTTAGTAGTTGTTATCAAATTATATATAATTAGGCGTACAAAATAAATTTTAAGTACTAAAGTAAGTAATCTGACGTCATACTGAAATAGCCTGCTGCTGGGGGCTTCAGTACATACATCGACTGAAAAATAGCCTGAATCGCAGTGGAGTGCTGCTACATCAACTGAGGGTTTGGGATGGGAAGCAATCGTTTTATCATTCTTCGTTTTTTCTTCTTCTTTTTTACGAAAAAAACGGTATAGTTTAAGGTAAGCAGAAAAAGTGAGCAAATGCTTATCAAAACACGCTTTAGTAAGTGTATATATATATATATATATATATATATATATATATATATATATATATATATATATATATATATATATATACACTTACTAAAGCGTGTTTTGATAAGCATTTGCTCACTTTTTCTGCTTACCTTAAACTATACCGTTTTTTTTTGTAAAAAAGAAGAAGAAAAAACGAAGAATGATGAATAAAACGATTGCTTCCCATCCCAAACCTCAGTTGATGTAGCAGCACTCCACTGGGATTCAGGCTATTTTTCAGTTGATGTATGAACTGAATATATATATATATATATATATATATATATATATATATATATATATATATATATATATATATATATATATATATATATATATATATATATATATATATATATATATATATATATATATATATATATATATATATATATATATATATATATATATATATATATATATATATATCAGGCTTGGTCGGGAAGCGGGAGCGATCGCTCTCGAATACTGACCACGGAAATTATATTTAGTTGCGAAAAACTGGCCAGGTTTTTTAGTCGTTTTGAGAACATTTAAGTTTATTTACGAAACAAAAATTTTTTGTTTTACGGACATACATGGAAACATAATAAACTTGAATGTTCCCAAAACATCTTTGTGCAAAAGAATAAAAAGAATATTCGCGAACACTAAAAACCCGCCAATTAACGAAGAAACTAATTGTATTGGTTCAAAAAATACGCTGACTTAGCGAAATAAAGTTCTAGAAATTCTGTTGAAATGTTTTAAAAAATGTTTTAGAACGTTTTGAGATTTCTAGCATAAATTGTTTTAAGAATAAATACATTATTTGTTTACAAAAATAAAAGTTTTAAATATATATTAAATTGTCAAAATGTTAAAAGTTTATTATAAATTATAGATTTTATTAGTATATTCTTATTTTTTATTTAAAAAGTATGTATTCTTTATGTGAATTTAATTTTGTTTATCTGTTTTTTATCGTAATGTATCTTTTAAAGCAATTTTTACGATTTAAACAAAGACTTACAAAAATAATTGCGTTTTCAATGAAGTTATAATCGTTATAGTTAATAAAACTAATTACGTAACAAACATATAAGAAGTTTCTAGTTACTAAACACAAACAACGCGTACAAAGTAACTCGCAGATGAACAAGCACCGCGCCTAAGGTCACGACAGAACACAAATATATATAGCAAATAATTAGATATAAAGAAAAGTTACTAGATATTAGTTTACTAACTCTAATTATTTTTGCTTAAGTTGTCATTCTAAAAACTCGTTATACTTTTTTATGCTTTAAATACCAATTAAAACTAAAAAGCCCACTCACTAAACATCACCAGCAATATTGTGAAGCAATTTCGCTTCTTCGTCATAAAATATTGTTAACCTGAAGTTGATTTCTATATTGTTAATTTAATTTCTATGATTTAATTATTTCATTTGTTTATCTTACTAAGAAGAATTGCTGCTTCAAATATGTTAAACTTTTCGAACTACG